TGTGGCTCATCTAAACCTAAGAAGTTTAGGAACATACCCCAAAAACAAATGAAAAGCAGCAGAAAAAAACAAAAGATTTTTCTAATCTGTAACCCTGGAACTATCACGGGGTAGGAAGAGTTTCTAATTAACAGAAACTGGGACTGATAGGGTGAGAAGTTCTGATCTACAGTATGAATGTTACTTATCTTCTCTAATTGTGGGCTTTTCAAAACAAAAATTACACACAAATGGCTTTACTGTGAACAAAATACTTTCTCTGCAAGAAGGAACCTGACTTTTCATCATGTGCGCTTCTTGCTTATATTTAAATATTTTAGCAATGAAGTTAATAATGTTATAATCACTGTAATTTCCAACTTCTAATTTACCAGTTTATGATCATCCATAGGTGTTTAGTTCAGCACTCTACTTAAACAAGGYTCTATATCTAAGCATGTTCACACAACCTTGAGGGAAATCCTCACATTGAGAGTTTTTCATGAGTTTTCATGAGTTTTTCATGAGTTCAGGTCTTTGGTTAAGTGAGGACCAGAAAGGAAACATTTAGATCCCCCATGAAAAAAGCCACTTTAACATTACAATATGTTAATGACAATCCATAGGCAGTTGTTTCTGTCTGAACTTGGCCAGATCCTTTGCTGGGATGAAAAGTTTGCCATGAACTTTAAAGAAATTACCCCAGTTAGCACAAACCAAAAATCAAGTGTCAGGATTTCTAATTCTTTGTTCTTTTCTTTTTTGACCCCAGATATATCTTTCCAARACAAACTACTGGATATATTCCCTTTAAGCTACAAGAGCACAAAATTACCTTGCATAAGCTTTTCTTTTTTTTCCCTGTAGAATATGATTGGGAAGTTCAACAAATTCCTACTGCAACCTTCTGTTTTCATCCCAAAGACTGGTTTTCAAACCCGGTATTTCTCAGGGAAAACTCCTAAATTTATCACCATCATTTTGCATAGCTGCTTTACCATAACCTTTGCTGTAAGAAAACWCATCCAAACCTTTCAGCACAGCCTCAGAGGAGTCCTTGAGATGAGCCGATACAACCCAGGGTTCTGCAGGAGGCCCCAGTTTGTCAACTCTTTGACCCTGGGAGGAAAAATAAAARAGAAGAATTAAGATCTTCCYTCCTCAGCAAGAGCAAAGAAAGTTTTAATAGTTTCAACAACTGTAATAATTTTTTAATGACCAGTCTGCAGGCAGTTTGAAATTACATGTTACAAATGTCACAAAGTTCGCTCTAACTCTTCAAGATGAGGCCACATCACAGGATGGATCAGGTTGGAAGGGATCACAGTGGGTCACCTGGTCCAACCTCCCTGCTCAGGCAGGCTCATCCCAGAGCACAGGGCAGGGGATTGTGTCCTGACTGGAATATCTCCAGTGAGGGAGAATCTGCAACCTCTCTGGACAACCTGTTCAGGTCTTGGTCGCTGTACATGGAAGAAGTTCTTCCTCTTGTCCAGCAAGAACTTCCTGGGCATCAGTTCCTTCCTGTTCCTCCTGTGCCATTGCTGAGCCCCCCAGAGCAGGGCCTGGCTCCGAGTCAAAAACATCAAATGTCAAAAACATCAAATGTCAAAAATAGTACAGAATTAATAGAAGCCTCCATCCACAGGGAGGCAAATTCTACCTTTCTGTCCAGAAAAATGATTTTTGGCTGTACAGGAAGTTGCTTCTCGATTTCTCCATCTGAGGGTTGCACCTGAACAGAGATGCTGTAAGGTCTCGTGTATAAGCACGTTTCTGAATGTTGTCTGCTTCCATTTCTTTCACATGTAAAAGGATGGGAAAAAAAAAAAAAAAAAAAAAAAAAAAAAAAAAAAAAAAAAAAAGAAAAAAAAAAAAGAAAAAGAAATTTAGTTCTAGATGTTATTTTCTGATCCTATTTTCTACCTATTAATTTACTTTTTCATAACCTTTTGATTCCTTGTGTGAGAGAAATATGTAAGGAACAGTCATCACTTCCAAGCAGAATGCAGCATCGAAGTATGAAAAAATCCTTCGATTTCAATCCCCAGTTTACAGGTCAAAAAGTGAGAAATGAACAAAGTAATTCATGTCCCTGGTATCATGTTGGAAGTATGTGGCAGAGACAGGGATTTTATGGATTCATGAACCCAGTGCCTCAACCCCAAATTCATCATTGCAGTGCACTGAGAGCAATGGAACCTGCAAATATTTCCTGTCCAGCAGAAGATTTTCACTGAAAACCTCTGAGTTCCTCTAAGAACAAAGTCATGGTTCCTCTACACAAGCACAGCACTTAGTGGGCTTTACTGCATTTCTTTTTTCTGCCATCACCTTCCCAATCTACAAAGTCTGCAGACTGAAATACAGTGGTTATACCCCCTTGAAAGACATTGGTTTTTCCAAGCCTGAAATTTAAATTAAAGCGTCCCAGGAGAGTGCTTTTGCATTTGAATAAAGAATCAACATTTTATTCTGAGCCTGAATCGTTTCATGCTCTATCCCAGTGCTTTGTGCCATTTGGTATCTCATATATATAAAAATATATATAATTTATATATATATAAAATGCTCTAATCYGCAATTGCAATGAAGTAGTTGGGAGTTTGGTATTGTCTTGAAATGAAAGAAGGAAAACTATTCATCGATCTCTAGTGTTTGCTTAAAGGTGTTTGCAAAAACAAGATATGTGGAGATTAAATTTCCTTTTTTTTTTTAACTCACTTTTTTCCAGTTTGGGTGATGATTGTGGATGTCTTTTTCAGAGTATTACWCTGTATTACAAATCAGAAAACTGTTCATACCTCAGCTGATGGGAAATACTGGTCTGAACTACAGAAAGATCAACTGAGCRTTTAAGGATTTGTGCAGSCTCAAAAGGTACCTCAARGATTTTAGYTTCAGTTCTAATCTTGGYTCTYTTTCCTRTATTTTTGTGTCAGTGGGAAAGTCTCAAAGGCAGTGTTAGGTTTGAAATTCATGTCAAGGGTATCAATAAGGTGCTGTGATCCACCTCCTTCCAAAAATGTGCATTCAGGTCTGTAACCAAAACTCGCTGCAGGAACAACACCCCAAGTTGCTCCTTTATTCAGGCTAAAGATCTGCAGTTTTCTGTGAGCTCCCTGACTCCASCTGAGCACAGAAAAATTTGGGTGAATCTTGGCACAGTTTCTGTAGAMCCCCCAAAATTTCTTTCTCTCCCCAGCTTTATTTTTAAACTGAAAACAAGCAGGAAAATGCCCTGCCTTTACACCTCAGGCCCTACATGCTAAACCTCTTCTCATCTAATACGTAGAGGATGGCTGCTGCAAAAAAATGGTGGATCTAGGAAGTATTTCTAACTCCATGGGGTGAGTAGAATCATAGGATCATAGAATCATAAGATAATACAGTCATAGAAAAGTTGGGAGGGAAGGGACCTTAAATCCCATCCAGTGCCACCCCTGCCATGGGCAGGGACATCTTCCACTATCCCAGGGTGCTCCAAGCCCCATCCAGTCTGGCCTTGGACACTTCCAGGGATCCAGGGGCAGCCACAGCTTCTCTGAGCAAACTATGCAAGCCTCACAGTAAAGAATTTCTACTTAACATCCAATCTTAATCTCTCCTGTTTTAGTTCAGAAAATTCCCCTTTCTTCTTTCACTCTGGCAAAATAACAGCAAAGAAAACACAACAAAACAAAACTAGACATGGATATGTAAAATGGAAGCGCAAAAATGAATGTTTGTGAGTAATTTGAACCTGGCTAGCACACCATGGAATGCGGTGTTTATATCCCACATGGTCCAGCCTGACTCGTGCTGAGAGGGAGCCCTGCCTTAGGGCACGACCCAGCGCACAGACAGTTATATCCCTTAAAATGATGTCAGTGTGGAGGAGGAGAAAGGAGCTGCTCCCCTGGTGCTTTGTGCTGGAAGGAAAACAGGCCTTTCCTGGCACAGCTATGCCCTCAAGATGTGGAGTTAGATGTGTGTTTGCAGCCAAACAAGGACCAGACCTCTGCCTTCATCCCGCGGGCAGGAAGGATGCTCCGTTTGCCCCGACCCGGCGGTCTCCTGCTGGGCAGGAGCAGGTTGGTTTGCAATTCCCGGCTGACAGGGAGCAGCTCTGATGCTCAGCGCCCTGCAGCTCTGCTAAATGTGGGCACAGCAGGTTGCCTGGGTCAGCAGGGACACCAGGAATCCCTGATCCTGTCACCATCAGTGCCAGCACATGTCTGCTGAACTGGATGAGGAAACTGGAAAGTGGAGAGGCTGCTGCAGGTATTATAAATTAACTGAGAAACTTGAGGGAGAGATTTGGGGCAGAGGAAATGAAGTATCCCTGAAATCATGTATTTTTCTTTTTATTTATAATTGCAATAATAACTATAGTCATAAAATCATAAGATCATAAAAYATAAAGTCACAAAATTGTAWAATAACAAAATCATAAAATYATAGAATGATTTGGGCTGAAAGGGACTTTAAAGATCATTCTTGTCCCACCCCCTGCCATGGGCAAGGACACCTTCCACTATGTCAGGTTGCTCCAAGCCCTGTCCAACCTGGCCTTGGACACTTCCAGGGATCCAGGGGCAGCCACAACTTTTCTGGGCACCCTGTGCCAGGGCCTCACCACCCTCAAAAGGAAGAATTTCTTCGGGATATCTAATCTAACCTAGTTAATATCATTTCTAATATCGTAACATCAAGTCATCGCAATAATGAAAACAATAATAGCAGCAGTAGTCGTAGTCTATTACCACTAATAATACTAACAAAAAAAACCCTACTGCTACTTCAAGGGGAAGGAGATCAGGATGAGAGCCTGGGYGAGGGTCCATAAAAGTTGATGGATTTGTGTCTACTAGAAAAATTTAGTGATGCCGAAAACAAGCCTTCGCACTGACACCTGATCACCTTCACCATKAAACCATCAGTCCCTCTCAAGCTGTGATTTGGGTCTAATGGCAAAATCCAGAACAACTCCCAAATGGTCTGGGAGCTTATCCAGTCAGAAAATATTCTCACTTGGAAGCTTGGATGAGGCCATGCTGAAATATATCAACTGTCCTTGGTGCCAAAGAACGGTCCCTGGTGTATTTAATTTCCTAATAGACATAAATATTGAAACTAATTTAACAGTTGTCTGGTATTTCTGCAATTCTTGTGTTGTAAAATCAATATATCCTTGGAAGGGGAAAAAAATTGGGAAGAATTTGGGTAATAATATGACTAAATGAATCCTGATCCAGCCAAACTGACATTTTTCTTCATTGTTGAAAAGGTAGAGATTGCTGGTGAATTCAAGACAGGAATTCAAGAAAAGGAGGTGCAGCAAGGGCAGGGGATAGAAGCTGAGGGCTTTTGGAAAGCAGAGGAGGTTYGAATTCACTGGAAGGACTGTGAGGAATTCAGCACCTTTGGGTGAGAATAGGTTCTGGTATCATGGGATGATGAAGTAAACCAGACTGCTGCCCTCTCAGCTGCACTGTTGGAGCTTTGCCTCCCCCTGCAGATCTTGTCCCTAATTAATGTGGACAGGGAAGAGAGACATGAGTATCTAGAAAATAATGAGGAGTCTGAGGATTCTGTGAAAGAAATCAAAGAGAATCAAGTCCAGCTCCTGGCTCTGCACAGGACAAACCCAAGAATCACATAATGTGTCTGAGAACATTGTCCAAATGTTGAACTCCATCAAGTTTGGTGCTGTGTTCACTTTCCTGGGGAGTCTGTTCCAGTGGCCGATCACCCCCTGGGTGAAGAAACTTTTCCTCATATATTTCCTAAACACCCCATGACACATTTTCATGCTGTTCCCTTAGGTCCTGTCCCTGGTCACCAGAGAGCAGAGATCAGTGCCCTGTTCWCCCCCTCACCAGGAAGTTTTAACTGCAGTGAGGTGTCCCCTCAGCCTCCTCCTCTCCAGGCTGAGCAAACCAAGTGGCCAAAGCTTCTCCTCCTATGACTTCCCCTCTAGGACCTTCTTTCATTAGGACAACGAAGATGATGGAAGATCTAGATGTGGGATCACCAGGAGCMCTTAGAAGGAGAGAGATGGAGCAGATGCATCCCCCAGATTCATCAGTGACTTCCATTAATTGCCGCAGATGAGTGGAAATGCCCTTATTTACAAAGCCAGTGGCGAGGAGCTCAGCCAGGCCTTCTCCATAACRCACTCCCCAAGTTTACTGTCAGAGAAATGTCTTTTATTAAATGTAAACAGCATCCCGCCGGAGGTCAGAGCTTTGCTGCGCTGCGTATCCCAAGGTAATACCACTTTAAGCTCCACATAAACTCTTAAACAGTTTCTATCCTAAAACCAGACCGTAGGTGGTACAGTTTTTTACGATATGTTATAATAGTGCAATAAATCTGTTAGCTTAAAATCGAATCTCCGTGGCCTTTTAGAGAAATCATCATTAAATGCAGGGCCCTGTTAATGATGCCATCCCAGTGAAATTGTTTAATCTGCTAGGGGGGTGGAAGGTCACCAAATGAATTTTTTATAATACATCAACTTGACACGCAATAGGGAAAACTGTAATAGATAAAAGCAAAGGAAAAGGGCACTGTCTTCTTCTGATAGGTCAATAGCAGCCAAGAGAGTCACTCATCCACTTTTCCTTCACTACCGTGCTCCTTTTCCATTTAATATGGACACCCAATTAATACCTCAGCACCATAGACAACCTCATTTTAGGTGAATTATAGCAATTTCTTCCCCCTTCTCCGAAATGAAAGTGATCACAATACATCATAGCATTGTGCGAATTAACGTTAATTGATTCGAGTTACCAAGCATTGATGGGCCACT